GCTTATGAGTGTGATCAGGTTATTATCTCCATTTTACAAAGTAGGCATAGAGGTTAAGTAAACTATTCAATGGTCCACACAGTAGGCAGCAGAGCCTGTATCAAACACAGTGCTTTCTTACAAACATATACAAAATGAGTACAACAAGCTTTGTTAATAGAAATCACATAAAAATCAAAAGTATATTTTCTATATAATATTATAAAAAAGAAATTAAAGGTTTTGGCAATAAAATTTCACATATTTAGGAATAAATCTAAGAATTATAAAATCTCTACACAAGAACAATTGCGTGATTCCATTTAAATAAAGTTTAAAAATAGACAAACAATGGTGTTAGACCTCCAAATGTGATTCCATTTCATAAGACTGGCTGTGGTCGGAATGTTTATATTCACCACCCCCCAATTCATATACTGAAATCTCAACCTGTCATGATTTGGGTATATGTCTCCCAAAAGCTCCTGTTAATGCAGGAATATTCAGTTGAAATTATTAGATCACAAGAGCTGTAACCTAGTCAGTCCATCCTAGTTTGTTCGGATTGACTAGTAGTAACTGTTAGCAGGTGGAGTGTGACTGGAGGAAGTGGGTCATGCCCTCCAAAGGCGCATCTTCCCTGTGACTCCTTCCCTTCTCCTTCCTGACCCTGCCAAGAGCTGAGCAGCATTCCTTTGCTAGGTCCTCCCCGGACAAGTGCTGCCTTGCCTTGGGCCCAGAGTAAAACAGTTGGGCATCTATGGACTGAGCCCTCTGAAATTGTGAGCCCCAAATGAACTTTTTCTCCTTGTGGCGCATTTTGGACACAGGGATGCAAAAGCTAACTAAATTATACCCCAAAATATTAAGAGATGGGGGATGGGGCCTTTAGGAGGTGATGATGGTGCCCTCATTAATGATATTAGTGATCTTATTAAACATCTGAGGGCCTGAAAGAGTTCTTTCACTGCCTTCCCTCATGGGAGGTTAAAGCAATATGGTGGTCAGTGAGAAAGTAGGCCCTAGTTAGACACTGAATCTACCAGCACCATGATCTTAGATTTCCCAGGCTCCAGAACTGTGAGAATAAATTTCTGTTGTATATAAGCCACCCACAATTTATGATATTCTGTTACAACACCTGAATGGACTAAGAAAACTGGTACTGAGAAGTACTATAACAAATATCTAAAAATATGGAAGGGGCCATAGAGTTGGATAACAGAAGCTAGAAAGGTAAAGGACTGGGGATATGGCTCAGTGGTTAAGTACCCTGGGATTAATCATCATACAAAAAAAAGAAAAAGCAAAGCACAAGCAAGGCCTTTAACACTGATAACATGAAAACATGAAATAATCTACAACATAAATATAAATAGAAGTGTTAATGATGGTTATCTCAGAGTTGGCACAAGGAAGATTCATTCCTCATGTATGGTATAATCAAGAAAAACCATCTCAACCTTTGCCTTGTCTAATACACATTACACATAAGTATGAGGGAACCCTTACCATTCTTTTTCAAGCACAGTTTTACTTCTCTTCAACTGGCAAAGAGAATTGCATTTTTTGGGGTACGGGGTGGGTGGGTACCAGGGATTGAACTTGGAAGCACTTGACCACTGAGCCACATCCCCAGCCCTATTTAGTATTTTATTTAGGGACAAGGTCTCACTTAGTGCTTTGCTGTTGTTGAGGCTGGCTTTGAATTAGCAATCCTCCTGTAAGCCTCCCTAGCTACTGGGATTATAGCATATGCCACCGTACCCGGCTGAATATTTAATGTGCTTACTATGTTTCTAAGAGGAGTCAATTTTTTTTTGTTGGATTCTAATATGAAGTGGAAATAAGGCACTTCAGAGGATTTGCTAACACAATTTTCTACAAAGAACACAAGTATCAGGATAAGGAGGGCAACTAACAGAATAATTAGAATGGATCAGAAATGATTTCATATAGTTTCCAATACTTATTGAAAGTGAGGACAGAGGAACATAAGGCATAAGAGAAGTGTAATTACTATACGTCCCATCTAAATAGTAAAATATCAATGTCAGAGCATCAAAAATTCCAAAGAGCCTGGTGTGGTGAAGAATGCCTGTAATCCAAGCAGTTCAGAAGGGTGAGACCCTAAGTAATTTAGTGAGGATCTGTCTCAAAATAAAATATATATATTTAAAAAAGGGCTGGAGATGTGGCTCACTGATTAAGCAATCCTGGGTTCAATCCCTGATACAAACAACAACAACACTACCAAAAGAACATATAAACAACTTTGCCTGGTGTGACTTAAAGGCAAGAAGTGGGATGCTCACAGGGTATTATTAAAAAATAAGACGTTGTGGCATATGCCTGTAATCCTAGAGGCTTGGAAAGTTGAGGCAGGAGGATCAAGAGTTCAAATCCAGACTCAGCAAAAATGAGGCACTAAGCAACTCAGTGTGACCCTGTCTCTAAAATAAAAATACAAAATAGGGTTAGGGATGTGGTCCACTGATTGAGTGCCTCTGAGTTCAATCCCTGGTACCTTCTCCCCCAAAAAACAAGGATGGGGGGAAGAAAAAAAAAGATAAAAACCTGAGTTTATACTTTCACAAAGATTCCTAATGAATACATCAATGAATCAATACATGATGACTTTAGACAGGACCTCTGGAATTCTGACATTAATCAGATGCTCCAAATTTCTTTTATACATACTATTTCATTTAGATTCATTTACAGCTCTTAAGTGAGTTCCATTTTAATTTTGTAGAGAAAGAAACCTTTGCTTAGTAATTAATTACCTGGCTTGGGCTCAAACAGGTTCAATACGGATATCACAAGATTTGGGTCTTTCTGATTCTGAAAGTTCATAATCTAAACCACAAATTCCCAATACTATGCATTGAAGTATGCTATTCTTCTGCCATAAGAATTCAGGTTTGCTCTCTGTGCTTCCTTGTTATCATGTCCTGGGCAGCTTTCCTCTGCCATACCCTTCTGCCACAAAGTTCCGCCTCACCTCAGGCCCAGAGCAACAGTCAGCCATCTATGAACTGAGGCCTCTGAAACTGCAGTTAGAAGACCCTTCCACAACTGCCAAAGATTTTAATAGCTAGACTTTGAATTGCTAGGTCCTCAAGATCCACCAAGTTCCCCCAGGGCCAACTTCCAGCTGCTGCCACAGTCATTTTATAATGTAGGACTCGATATCAAACCCTATTCTGTTACTGATGCGTAACAAAACACCTCATTATCTCTCTGAGTCCCTTGGGGTTGGGAGAGAATTCACATTTAATGCAATTGTCTAAGGGCAAGAGGAACAAAAGCACAATCTGTTGGGGGTCCTTCAGTAGAAATTAGATTATGCTGAGTTATATCTAATAGTCAGTCTGCGGGAATGGTAAAAAACTATAGATGGTGATAAAATCACTATAGATACAAGCTATTTTCAGAACATCTAGACAGGCATGGTGGTACACGCTTATATTCCCAGTGACTTCCAGAGGCTGAGGTTCTAAGCAATTTAGCAAGATTGTCTCAAAATAAAAAATAAGAGGACTGGGGATGTGGGTCAGTGGTTAAGCATCCCTGGGGTTCAATCCCTGGTACTAAAAACAAACAAAGCAAGAAATAGCTATAATTCAAACCCTGAAATTACAAAATTAATAAACCAAAAGTATTTTCTAATTTAGTCTTTATCACAGATTTTCTTTAAATAGGTATTATCAAAAAATATACTTCAAATACTCCTCCCAAAGTCTATCTCTGTCCAACTTTTCTGCATATATATCTAATAATCTAAAATGACATATTCCTGAAAATAAGAAGTACATTTTACTAATGTGGTGAAGATTAGAATTTTAGCCACAGACCCAACAACAACAAAAAGTTAACTACAGAAATGTTATGAAATTAGTTACAGAATTTATATATGAAATTAACATTTGTCAGGGTTGACTATAGCTCAGTTGATAAAGTATTTGCCTAGCATGCATGAGGTCCTGGGTTTAATCCCTAGTACCTTCAACCAACCAACCAACCAACCAACTAAAAACAAAATACAAAAATAAACATTTATGAATTATATCACCAAATTACGCCTTTTTAAAATTATTATTTTTTTAATTGTAGTTGGACACAATACCTTTATCTTACTTATTTTTATGTGGTGCTGAGAATAGAATCCAGTGCCTACATGTGCTAGGCACATAATTCAAACCCTGAAATTACAAAATTAATAAACCAAAGTATTTTCTAATTTACAGTCTATCTTCTCTATCGCTGAGCCACAACCCCAGGCCCAAATTATGTTTTTTGAGGACAGAAAGTAAATGTTAAAAGCCAAAGAAATAATTCTATGCTAAATGCAACTTCCAGGAAGAATGTTTATAAACATATTTCCAAAGGAGTCATTAGTTTTCCTAGCATTATTTTTACTCTTCACTGACTTTAGATAGCATGGGGAATACCAAAGACACTGAAGAGCTTTTTTCTGTTTTCAATGAGTTTACTTCTTCCAAGAAGAAAAAAACTATACTAAGGTAATATAAAATGGTCTGATAATTGAGTATTGCTTATAGAAGTTTATGTATCACTCATTCTTTTGTTCTCATTCATTCTTGGCCAGCATTTACTTACTCTGTCATCTAATTTAACCTTTCAAATGGGAAAAGTATGAAAGTGATATTAAAACTATTGTTTTACTATGACTATTTACTATAAACTAAAAAGTATGAAAGTGATATTAAAATTATTGTTTTACTATAACTATTGAGGAGGAAAAGAAGGGACCTTTATTTTTTTTACCACATTAGTCAATAAGGCAGGTTACTGAGCTGAGTAGGTTAGTAATAACTATGATGTAGGAATAATAATAAAACCAAACTTATTTCTTAAACTAAAGACTCAAGGAAAGGTAATCAACAACAAAAACAATATAAAAAGGAAATACAAATATGCAATAAAAACAGTCTTCCACATGGAAGAAGCCAGTTTACAGAAATAATCATCTTTCACTCTTACCCCATAATACTTACTTGCCATCTGTGTCTGATGTAGCTGCATAATGTAGGGGTGTGCAGCCTCTTTCATCAAGGTCATTCACACTTGCTCCTGATCCCACAAGAGCAAACAGGCACTGGTAATTGCAGTTGGCAGCAGCATAGTGCAGTGGAGATCTGTGTGTCAAGTTAATAAAAGATAAGAGCCAGGGACATACACTAGTAAACAAGATCATAGTTGACTTTTACTCTACATTTATAAACACTGTATTTATGATGGGCTTTTCAATGACTTGTAATATACACCAAGTCTTTTTAGAGACTAACTAAACTAGGAGGAGAAAGCAAAGTGGTAGAGAATGTTTTGGTATAAAAAATATAATCAAAACAGTTATTCAATGGTTCTTAAACAGCTGTAATCCAGTCCCCTGAGTGGATTATAATCTTCTTATTCTGATCAGAAACTGGAAAGCTTTCATTTTAACAAAGCTTCTCCTACCGCTAATAAAAAAGTATAGAAGCAGTAGCCTCTACTTAAGTCTCTGAAGAGAAATAAAATATAGGAGAAAAAAAATAGAAGCATTATAAAGAATGCTCCATTATATCAACTGCATGATAAGCCTACATAGTAGTAGTATCAGACTTCTCATGCAATAAAGACAATTTTGAAGACTATTCACTACTCAGAAGAGTTAGAGTACTGTTTTAATTTCTAAAGACTGAGTATTTGTAGCTGATTTCTTTTTTGGCATTGGGAATTGAACCAAGGGATGTTTAACCACTGAGTAACATCCCCAGTACTTTTTGTAAATAAAATACTTTTTGTATTTTATTTAGAAATAGGGTCTCACTGAGTTGCTTAGCGCCTTGCTAAATTGCTGAGGCTGCCTTTAAACTCACAATCCTCCTGCCTCAGCCTCCTGAGTGACTGGGATTACAGGCGTATGCCACTAGCTCCCAGCTGTAGTTTATTTCTATGTGGTTAATAAAGTGAAAGAGAATGTTACTAAATTTATGAGTAAACTATTTTAGGATCACAAAACTGATGATTCACTACCCTCCCCCAAACCAAGAAATACGATTATAAAGTACAGTTTAGTCTTCACAGTACAATTTTTACCTAGTAAAATATTAATCTGTCTATGGTACATTACATAGATAGATATTTAAAAATGCAATTAACCCTCAATTCCTTTAAAGCTTATAAGGTCAGAATTTGCTTCAGAAGTCTCCACTGCTATTTATACTACAGAGTACTTGATATGCAATAAAATTATTTTAGACAGATTAAAGTATAATTATTAAAGCAAATTAACTATAAAATATTGTATTCCAAAGCCAAACAAAATGATTATGATTTTGTGGGTCATTAGTTCCTTCCATTAGTAGACTTATGAGATCAATCTGTTATTCAAAGTCATTATGGGGGTCAAACAGTTTTTTCTTTTCTTCTATTCATTTTTTATTTCCTACCATACATAATTATTTTTACTTTTCTTCTGAAATGTAAAATCACATGCACTGATATTTGCACATTTCCTTCTAACAGACACTCTTCCCTGTCATAGACTTTGATAGGCACAGTTCTCAACTGTTGACATGTAATTTTGTTCATAATGCCACTTCTATCTTTCAAACAAATACCACCCATTAATTCTTTCCTGTAGAGTCTTAATACATTCTGTGCTTTGACAGGAATATACAATGGTAGCTTCAAATATCACTACCACAAATGCTAGTTACAGTAAAGCCTGGGGCTGAACAGTGAGAAAACTGGCTGAATGACAACAAAGAAATCTGGTCATTTCATAGCTAACTTTCTGAAGATCATTCTCAGTGGGATATGTGAATGGGTATATGAGATTTACATAGAAGAGAAAGAAAACTCACACACACATATTTGAAACCTATTTCCTCTCTCTTTAATAGTACTTTGTAACCAGAAATAGCAAGTAGGATCTCTCAACAAGGGAATGACTTCTGCCAAGAATTGTTACTGTATCCTAGGTACTAAGAATTTCTTGAAGGACCATAGGTACCAAGGAATATCAAAATTTTTATCGCCATAATTATGGGAGAAGTGGTATCAAAAAGCACTTACTTACAAGGGTAAGGCTGTGGCTAGTATTCTAGGGCTTTGGGAGGGGACAAAGTGGAAGGAGACTGAATGAGAACTAATATTTAGAAGATACTGACTTCAGATAGGACTCTCAACAAATCATGATCACAAAGCCAAAGATATGGAATCTTTAATTCTGTCTTCTTTTTGGTTTTAACAATTCTGAGATAGGCCCTCGTTAAGTTGCTAAGGCCATCCTTGAACTTATGATCCTCCTGCTTTAGCTTCCTGAGTCATTGGGATAACAGGCATGTGCCACTGTGCCCATCTCTGAATTGTTAATTTTTAGAAATCAATTAGAAGGTAAAGCAAATCATTAAGTAAATAAAATCAATCAGTTTATACAGAGAAACTATATAACATGACCTACCTCCCAAATTTGTCCTTTTTGTTGAAATCTGCACCAGTATTCAGCAGGAGGTTTAGGCACTCCAAATTCCTATTAGGTAAAAGAAAAAACTTAATTGTCAGAAATTTTGCAGTAAAATTGGTAAGTTTAAATAAGAAGTTTTATTCTTATTTATTTATTTTTAAGGTGGACACAATGTCTTTATTTTATTTTTATGTGGTGCTGAGAATTGAACCCAGTGCCTCACACATGCTAGGCGAGCGCGCTACCACTTGAGCCACATCCCTAGCCCGAAATAAAAATTTTTAAATGAGGGTAAATATGAAAAAAATATCATGATTTACATTCTGTGAAGAATAAAACATTAGAATTCATCTTATCTAAAATTTAAGAAATTATGTATATAAATAGTGGTACATTCACAGGAAATAACAAATGACTCATATCATTGTTTAGAAGGAAGAGCACATTTGTAAAAGAGGGCCTAAAGAAATTTTAGGAAACCATACGCTTGTAATTAAATGGTTTAAATTTAAGTGGTTTTCAATACTAAATTTAAATAGATTAAAAAACCAAAAAACTTAAAAAAAATACCCAAGTCAGTTCTCCATTATCTTCTCCTATACTATTTTTTTCAAATATTTTTTTTTTTCAGTTGTAGATGGACAAAATACTTTTATTTATTTACTTTTATGTGGTGCTAAGGATCAAACTCAGGGCCTCACACATAGTAGGCAAACGCTGTACCCCTGAGCCACAACCCCAGGTCTCTTCTCCTATACTATTAATGCTTACTTAGATGCCTCAATTAAAATAACAGGAGAAAACATAATACTCATGGGTATTCCTGTAATTTAATTTTTATAATTTTGAACATCAATTTAGTTGAAAACTGTAACTGCCAAATAATCAGACAAGTCTGTTGGTCCTGGTCCTCTCTCTGAGGGCAAGTTACATGGAAATTAGCTTTTAACCATAACATTCTCTGGAGACCAAAAAGAACAAGGGAGTCAGTCACATTCTCACAATCCATTTATAGATTGTGGTATTCTTGATTTAGAGCACACTTGTCCTCTGAAGTCTCTGGAAATTTTTAAGGAATTATCATTGGAAATAAAGTTCTTGCAAAATGTCCTTCTAACAATCACAAATTAAAAGTAGCTTATAACATATCTAAAGAAGCATTAGATTAGCAACATGCTTTCAGAGACTAAAGGGTTTTAGCTGAAGTTTGTCATTCAACAGAACCAATTGCCTTGTTTCCTCATAAGCTATTTTAAAACAGTCCAAAATCTCCAATCTCAAAATTTTCTTTTCCCAGTAGTATCAAGACATAAACACCACCAACATTTTTTCCCTTAAGATATGGTTTAAAAAGTATCTGAAGAGCATTAGTATTATAGAGAACATTCTAAATGGTTTGTTGTTCTCATTTGACTTTAGAAGACATTTTTTACTTGAGGAATCACTTTATTCATTTCTTCTTTTATCCAGGAATTGTTTTCACTTAATATATATATATATTTCCTTTTGTAGGCTTTCTCTCCTTTCCCCAGTTAAAATCTATGACTTAGATAAGAGAGGATTGGGGGTGGGGGACGCGCGAGCGATTTCTGCTACTTTGGACTTCCTTTATGATGTGTGTGTGTGTTTTACTGGGGACTGAATCTAGGTGCACTCTACCACTGTTAAATCCTCAGTCTCTTTTCTTTATTTTGAGATAGGATTTTGCTAAATTTCCTAGGCTGACCTTTAACTTGAAATCCTTCTGCCTTGGTCTCCAGAGTTGATGGGATTACATGCATATACCACTGCACTCAGGACTCCCCCCCAAATCATTCCTTTTATGTTTTCTTATTTTTTGGTGACCCAGAAATAAGTAAGAGGAACAAAAACAAGAAAAACTGCCATGACCAGCTTTCTTTGTGATTTTCATTGTGCTGGGGATCAAACCTAGGACCTCACACATTCCAAGAAGCATGTGCTCTACTACTGAGCTATATTATATATACTCCCAGCCACCCTTCCTATTTTTTTTTAAAGAAATAAAAATAGTATTTACATACCCTCCAGCTGCAGCTGCATGTAGACAAGTCCTGCCAAAATCATCTGGGGTATCGATTTCAAATCCTGTAAGAATATATGTCTTATCGATTATATAATATTATAGATGTGTTACTTTAAAGTATTATATCAAGAAATATCAAGAATCATAACTTTTCCTCCAATCCTAAATAAAAACTATGAGTTCTGAATATGAACAAATGAATGAAAATATTTTTAATAATGTACAATATTACAAAAAAATTTACCAGTATGAGATTGGTGTTTCAAAACAAATATTGGAGTGTTCTTTTTAAAAGGCCATACCAGGCATGGTGTCATGAACTGTTAGTCTCCTAGCTATGTAGGAGACTGAGGCAGGAGGACCACTTTTCAGAAGTTTGAGGTCAGCCTTGGCCATTTAGCAAGATCTTATCTCAAACAAACAACTCAGACTTCTAAAAAGGCCACAGGATACCATGGAATATTATTCAGCAATAAAAAGATACTGATAATGACACAAAGATGACCCTTATGAACACAGTGATTCCCTTCTATCAACTATTCAAAATGGGCAAATTTAAAGACATAGAAAGTAGATTAGTGGTTACTTAGGGATAGGGGAGGGCAAAAATGGAGAATAATTGCTAATGTTCCTTTTTTATTTTTAACAAGGGATTGAAGATTTTTAAAAATGGTATGTTATGATGGTTATCCAACATACTAAAATATATTGAACTATATTCTTTAATGCTTATTTTTTAGTTGTAGTTGGACACAATACCTTTTATTTCATTTATTTATTTTCATGTGGTGCTGAGGATCGAACTCAGGGCCTCGCACATGCTAGGTAAATGCTCTACCACTGAGCCATAACCCTAGCCCCGAACTATATTCTTTAAAGGGGAAATCATAAGGCTTTTTCAAAGAGCAATAAGTGTTTGTTACCTGTACATTATTACTGCTAAGAGATACATAATAGTATCTAATAATTGAAAGCACTTAATAAGAACCATAAATTGGTAGTAATAACTTAGAAATCTATCATCTTGGTTTTGTTTTTTCCTTTTTGATACAGGGTCTCACTAAAGTTGCCCAAGCTGGTCTTGAAATTGTGATCCTCCTGCCTTAGCCTCCTGAGAAGCTGGTATTACATGTGTAAGACATAGCACCCAGCTTGATCCTGTTTTGTTTCAAACAGACTATTAGAATTTAAACTACTAATTATATACTACATAAATAATTTCATCATATCACAGAACATACTTGTTTCTTGAAATGGAAGTCAAGACCAATAAGACATACAAATGAAGATTTTTTGCTTCCAGTTATTAAAGGACAATCGAAGAAGACTGCCATCTAATGAACAAAAGAAATATCTAAAAATATCACATACCCCATTCCAGCTAAAAAAGAAGAGGAAACAATTATAAGAATAAAACATTTTCTCTAGCTGATGAGAAAAATCAAGTTTTAAAATTATACTATATTTATGTATGAATATACCAAAATGAATTCTGTATATGTACACATCTATATAAAACCATAATACACTAATTGAAGTAAGAATATTAATATTGGTACTGTTACAAGTACTACTACTACTACTAGAAAGAAGGTCAGTAGAGCAAGAAAATGGGGCAAAGAAGAGGAGCAGCAAAGGGAAGGTACTGGGAGCTTCGACTGATCAAATTATGTTATGTGCATGTATGAATATGGAACAATGAATTCCTCTATTATGCATAATTATAATGCACCAAAAAAACAAACAAAAAAACTGAACAATCAAACATCTAAGAGGTATTAATGAGTAATATATACTTGGATCTATTTATACGTAATCAAAAAAAAAAAAAAAAAAAAAAGATAAAGACAGTGTCTTAACACTAGGAAGTGAGGGAAAAAAACCAAAGAAAAACAAAAGAATTGGTCTGTGAAGGCTCCATTTACCTGAAGAAAGAAGTTTCCTGCAGCAATCTGAAAAACCACTTAAGGCTGCCAAGTGAAGGGGGAACATTCCATGTATGCCACGCCTAAAGTTAACAGAATAATACATTCATTACAACACAAGAAAAATATAATCATTTAAATAAATTACATACAGACTACTTAAGTAAAAGATACCAGATGAGTCAAACCCCCCCAAGACTTTGGAGAATAATATGATCAGAGTGTGAAAGTAGGTAGAATTTACTACACAGTTATATTTTTCCTAGAGTAGGTTTTTCAACCTCAGCACTATTGTCATTATGAACTTTATCATTGTTGGAGTATACACTTTACGTTCAGAATGTTCACCAGCATTCCTGGGTTATACTTACTAGATGTAACACCTTCCTTCCTTCTCAACCAAAAATGTCTCTGGACATTAGCTTAGGGAGCAAAACTAACTCCCATTTTGCCCTACCATTTAAGACCATTCCCACAAGGCAAGATGTTCAACAATGTTCATCACACTTATTAAAAGTAAAAAGTAGGAAGCAAATTATGTTTGTAAGTAAGAAGGATAAAGTGTGAAACATTCATATAATAATTAAATCCTACAAAATCAAAGAACTAGAGCTACTGGTAAAGACATCAATCAGTTCCAAATTTATATCTACACAGTAAGTCAATGTGAATTTTTTATAAAAGTTGCAAAAAAGATGTACAGTAGATATGTACAGCATGCCATTTATAAATGTATAGAAGATATAAAATTTCTTAAGGAATAGATAAATGTATACACAGAAATAATAAACACTAATTTAAATACAATATTCATTTCTGCAAGGTCCATAGAAAAAATCTCATCATTCAAGTAAATTTCACAGGAAACCTTATTATGTAAAATAAATAAAAGTGGGAAGCAGGGGACACACTGTAGTAGCAACCAAGGAATCCATGAACTCTGCATAACAGTCTGAAAACAATCATCTAGATAGTATTTGGATGAAAACAAAAAGTGTGTACAATTTTGTCAGACTCCCAAGTCCCTGGGATTACAGATGTGTGCCACCACACCTGTTAACTTTTTTCCCCCAAGTCTCTTAAATACTTCCACACCAAAAATAAAGATCTCGGGGCTGGGGATGTGGCTCAAGCGGTAGCGCGCCATGCCTGGCATGCGTGCGGCCCGGGTTCGATCCTCAGCACCACATACCAACAAAGATGTTGTGTCCGCCGAGAAATAAAAAATAAATATTAAAAATTCTCTCTCTCTCTCTCTCTCCTCTCTCACTCTCTCTTAAAAAAAAAAAACAAAAAAACCCAAAAAAAACCCAAAAAAACAACAAAAATAAAGATCTCAAAAATTAAATCTCTGATCAAAATTGCAATTAGTTATGTTTGAAAAAGAAATGCAAAATATATATAAAAAAATATGCTACCTTGACTTGACAAGGAAATTATATTTATATATTTACATACCATACTGGCAATAAAAAGAATAAGGAAAAATTCAAGTATAATACTGAGGACAAAAATCTACATTTCCATCTGAAGTATTTTAGAAAACTATACTTCACCCTCCTTTTGTATTTCCCTGTGATAGCTCTCAACACCTCTGTAAGTACTACTTACTTTGCAGTGTCAGCACCACTTGTGATAAGAGTGTTGATCAGCAGCTCATGGCCATAACGTGCTGCTATGTGCAAAGGGGTGTTTCCATTCTTGTCTTCACAGTCAATTACAGCTCCTGTAAAAAAAAAAAAAAAAAAAAAAAAAAGGCACATGTCAGACCCTGGACTATATAAAGATCAAGTCCAACTTATTACGTGCAATGTAACGTAAAACACCTCTTAAGCAGAATGGATACAGCACTTCTAACTAAATTTTATTCATACCATACTTACTAGGTCAGGAAGTTGGGGTTACAGGTTTTATGGCTGAAGCAGTTTTGTAAATTGAGCATAAAATTTTAATATACTTTAAAGCCAAGCATGGTGGTGCACACCTGTAACTCAGCTATCCAGCTACTTGGGAGGCCAACGCATGAAGATCACAAGTTTGAGGTCAACCTGGGCAACTTAGTAAAAATCTTTCTCAAAAATCATAAAATAAAATAAAAATAAAATAAAGGGCTAGGTGTAGCCTAGTAGTCGTATACTTGTCTAGCATGTGCAAGATCCTGGATTCAATCTACAGTACTGCTTATTAAAAGAAAAAAAAAATTTTAATATACTTAAAATTGACAAAAGACTTCAAGGGTCTAGCAAAATTTAAAAACCATTATGCTAGAACAAAATCAAGCACACTTCTTTAGAGCAAAATTTTTCAGAGCTTCAATGTGCACATTCTACACCATTAAGAAGATTGAATATACTGCTCAAAAAATTATTTGATTATGAATTTGTTCCTAGTTTTTACCTAAAAACTATAGTATCAGCTGAGTGTGTGCACCTGTAATCTTATCAATTTGAGAAGCTCAGGCAGGGGGACTGCAACTTTGAGGCCAGTCTCAGCAATTTAGCCAGACTCTGAGTCAAAAAATTAAAAAAAGAGCTGAGGATATAGCTCTGTGGTAGAATGCCCCTGGGTTCAATACCCAGTACCAAAAATAAAAAAGCAGAAAAACAAACAAAAACACAAGCAAAACCTATAGTACTTATTCTATTTTGAGGACTATTAAACAGCTCCTTCAAACATGGTTTGTGAAATAATGACTTAAACATACTTAAAAGATTTTTTTTAAAAGTTTAGCTTGCCTAATAATAAAGTCAAACACAAAATGAAAGAAGTTCATAAAAATCAACTAAAATTCTAAAAATTTAAAATATTCAAAAAGCAAAAAAAATCATATATGTTAATATATATAATACTTTTGTAGTGGAAAGGCAGTTTTCTACCAAGCAAAGTTGATTAAAAAAAAAAAATCAAAACTAACTGCTATGGAAAATTTATAAATAGAAAATTAAAATTCTGAAAGATACACATGCATAGCATTTTATACTCTATAACTTGATTTTTTAAGAGATTTGAAGTCAAATATTAAAAATTTATGGATTACAACAATTAATACCACTCATTTTGTGGATGTTTTTACTAAAATAAAGAAATAAAAAACAAACAGAAATACTTTTTACCACTCTGGATAATGGTTTGTGATCTGGAGAATCTACCGTGGAGGGCAGTCATGTGCAGAGGGGTTTTCCCATCCTTACTCTGAAATGATTGAACAAAAAACAATTTTTAAAAATTACTATTATTATATTAAAAAATACTATTAGAATATGTAATTTTTAGTTTTATTATGAATATCATCCATCTTCATCTTCTACAACTATTTCTCAAGCATTAAGTTTAGTTGAAGCCTATGGAGAAAAAATAGCTGTTCTGTTCAAAATTATGAACTAATTTTTTAAGCATGAATATCATACTATACAAATGTACAAAAACTCCATAATCACAGTTTATACAAAACTCTGTATGGTACATAAGATATGATCTTAATATTAATCTTATATTCCATAGTGAGGAAACAGAGGCACATAACCATGAATGACACAATCAAGATGTGCTTCCTAAGTTTAAGACTCAAAATTTCATACAGTTCCAATGCTTTCATTCTATGAAATCCTAAGCCCTATCATTTTTGACACACTAGGGATTGAACCAAGAGATACTCCACCACTTAACAGGCCCTTTTGTTTTTTATTTTGAGGCAAGGTCTTGCTATACTGTCAAGGCTGGCATTAAACTCATGATCCTCCTATGTCAGCCTCCCAAGCCACTAGGAAAACAGATGTGTGTCACCATGTCTAGCTTGAAGGAGGGTCTTGACCAAGGAAAAGTGAATATTGGAATTAAACTTGGATACTATAAATAATTTTAAAAACTATATACAATAATTTGTTTATAATTATTTGTAATCAACATTGTTAATCATTTTCTGAAATCAATACATTAAACTGGTTGTACATTTATATACGTAGAAATTCTAAAGGCATTCTCAATATCAAGAAAAATAATCCCGATGTAGGTGATAATTTTTCTTCAGGGTTAGGTAATTTCTTTTTTCCCCTTAAAACTTTTAGGTTGGCTGGGTGCAGTGGCATATGCCTGTAATCCTAGCTGCTTGGGAGACTGACGTAGGACAATTACTAGTTTAAAGCCAGCCTTAGCAATTTATCAAGGCACTAAGCAACTTCGCAAGACCTGTCTCAAAATAAAAAATAAAGAAGGGCTGGGGATGTGGCTTAGTGGTTAAGCACCACTAGGTTCAATGCCTGGTACCAAAAAATAAATAAAAAACCAAAATTTTTTGATTAATAAAAACACACAAAGAAAAGAAACTGGGTTGTAGTTCTAACTGCTGAGCAATACCCAGCATATTGATTGTGTACATACTAAAACTGAAATGTGACAAGTGCCCTAGGTTTATACTAACACCGTTATAATGGAGACCTCAAGAAAGCCTCATGCCATGCGGACTATTAGGAAAGCATACCATAAATACATAAACCTAGGTGTTTTAGTTTATAATTAAAAAAAATTTTTTTTAGTTGTTGATGGACTTTTATTTTTATTTATTTATATGTGGTGCTGAGAATCAAACCCAGTGCTTCACAACTGCTAGGCAAGCCACAACCCAGCCCAAGTCCATAATTTTATATAAAATTTTCACACACACAAGCAAGTGATCCAAGTAATCTTAAAACCAAGTAATCTTAAAAACATTTTCAATCCTAGAGGAAATTTGAAAAGGGATGAGGGAGAGAGGATACATGCTTGCATTGCTATTTGCCATAAGCAAAAATTTGGACAAGTTTCCTACTTGAGACTTCACTTCCTCAACTGAAAATGAAGATAATAACTAACATCTATACATCATAGATCAGTTGTTCAGAGTAAATATAATACTTTTTGGAAAACTTCATATACCATACATACTATAAATGCTTATTTTAATATAAAATTTCATTTTTACTTCAAGCTTTTTTCTTTTACTTTCAGGTAATAGACATTGAACCCAGAGGCCTCTACCACTGAGCTAGTTCCTCCACATCCCTTTTACATTTTTTTCTTTTGAGATAGGGTGTCACTAAGTTTCCAAGGCTGGCTTTGAATTTGCAATCCTCTTGCTTCAGCTGTTTGCATTGCTGGGATTATAGACATAATCTGCTGTACCCCAATTTACTTGATGTTTTAAAGCATGTCAGTTTTTTTTAAATTTTAATTTTTAAGCTACAGATGGACACAATATCTTTATTTATTTTTATGTGGTGCTGAGCTCACCACTGACCTCTACCATTGAACTATAATAGCAGCCCCCCAGTTGTTATTCTTTCAGTCAGGAAAAAACAAAACAAACAAACAAAAACCCCACAACAACCACCAAAAAACAAAATCATTTTAATAAAATAATTCTAATTCATTATTTGAAAATGTTTCCTATGTTGCCAATTTTATCTACAGTCTTTTTATTTGGGGTGTGTGTATATATGTGAGAAAGAGAGAGAGAGAAGTACTGGGGATTAAACCTAGAGGTACTTTACCACTAAGCCACATGCCTAATCCTCTTACTTTTTATTTTGAGACAGGATCTTAGAAGTTGCACAGGGCCTTGCTGAGTTGCATAGGATGGTCTTGAACTTGCAATCTTATTGTCTCAGTCTCCCTAGCCACTGAGATTATAGGCATCAGATACTAGCTCTACAGCTTTGGTTCCGACAAAAAACAAAAACAACACCAAACAAAGGAAGACTTCTAATAAAAACTAGGATTCAGGGCTGGAATTGTGGCTCTGCGGTAGAGTGTTCGCCTGGTGCTTGCAAGGCCCTGGGTTCGATTCTCAGCACCACATAAAAATAAATAAATAAAAATAAAAGGATTGTGTACAACTGAAAAAAATAAATATTTTAAAACAAACCTAGGATTCATAAAATGATGAAATTGGGATGATCTCACTAGTTAACATTTATACACATAGTAATCAGTATATTTCAGGCCAGTTTAAAAACACTTAGATATACATATAAAATCAGTCATTTAATCCTCACAATCCTATTAGAAAGATACCATTGATCTTATTTTATAGAAAAAGTAAACTAGGCCCTGAGGTTAAAGGACTCAACCAAGTCTCTGATCTAGTAAGTGGTAGAGTCCTTTATTGTAAGCCTACAGGCACCATTTGAGTAATATTTTTACTTTCTGCATATTGATCATAAAAAGTATTCTAAATATACAAAGGAAGAAGAGCTTTGGATTACCAAATAAGAAGTCTGCCTTAATATGTTAGGAAGGCATATTTCTCTCTGTATTGAAGAAGCAATATGGAGTTTTACTTAACCCCTCAAAGCAAATAAATAGAAAAACCCACAAACATTTTAAGAGTTGATATTGAATATGACCAAAACTCAGTAATAACAAAAAGGCCACACATTTTACAATTTTTAAGTTTAAAAATTAAAAGAAGTACTTGATGTATTCCGTTTAGCTGACTCAATTTTATTCTTAAAGAGCAGAGTGGGTGGGGAAAGGAGAGCTTGTAAGTAAAGCAATCAAATCAATGCAGAAGGGCTCATGTTAAGCAAATTTATAAAAACCAGACCTATGTTGCCTTTTAAAGTCCACTCATTTACCTCTTCCACTCTGTAGAATAACTGACTTAAAACCTTAGAAACTGAATTTTTATAAATTAAATGATTACAATTTTTAGTGATCTACAACTTAAGGAAAAAACAACAATATGGAGACTAGCATAGGAGGGACAGAATAAATGGAGAGGCGAAAAAAGAGAACATGAATATTTGGAAATTTAATTTTAAAATTTATATTTTAAGTTAAAAGTTTAACTTTAAAATTTTAAACTAGGTGCATATCTGTAATCTCAGAAAAGTGGGAGGCTGAGGCAGGAAGATCACATGTTTGAGGCTAGCCTGGGCAACTAAAGGAGAACTTGTCTTAAAATAAAAAAAATAAAAGGACTGAGGATGTAGCCTCAGTGGAAGAGTGCTTGCCTAGCAGCCTAGCATTTGTGAGGTCCTGGGTTCAAACCCTAGTGCTTAAAAAAAAAAATGTGGGTATTAAGAACAAGGCCTTTTAGTCAATCAATGATTTAATAAATACTAATTTGACAAATGCAGTTAAATACAGATTTCAGAAATGAATACTTATTTTTCTGGTTGAAAATGTAGAGCTATCAACAATTTCTGTATAATTTCAGAGTCAGAGGGAAATCATCATGGTAAATGTGTTTCATTGGAACTTGGCAATGAAATAACTGGACAACTGCACATTAGTAGGATGTCACACATCCTTCAGAGAGATTAAAGCAACTTTTATAAAATCTGTTTCTAAATTCACATCATAGGCTGTTGCATACAGATTTACTTAAACGGTAAATCTTAACCCCTTTGCTAAAAAATTCCCTGTCATGTATGAATTTTCAAATTCATGAAGGACGTAACTTCAAATAGGACCATTGTTCTGAGTATTTCATAACTTGGCCTCTTATGGCACTGACACTCAAATTTTAAATTTCAAAAGAAGATATACACTTAATGTAATTACAGATACTAAACTTAACTATGCATTCTGTAATATGAACCCAATGATTCATTATCAAATTATACTAAATATTCATTCAGTGTATAAATCAGGAAGCCTAATCTTTGTTATTTAAAGACAGCACCATGTAATTGAAAAATGTATAATAGCTGGGCATAGTGGAAAAGCCTGCAAACCCAGCAACTCAGGAGACTAAGGCAGGAGGAACACAAGTTCAAGGCTAGCCCTGGCAATTTAGCATGACCCTGTCTCAAAATTAAGGAATTTAAAAAGGCTGAGGATGTGGCTCAGTGGTAAAGCACACCTAGGTTTGATCCCCAATTTATCTTTCTCTTGCATGAACACACTTCCATGTACAAGAATAATACCTAATGATACTGGTAAGCCTCCATTATTTCCATGATACTTAATGTTCAACCTGAAAGATGATTTTAACTATAGCCATTTTAATCATAAACAGGTCCCACAGAGACCAAAAATTTGGTTGTAATCTTTGTTTCTAAGGAATGTTAAGATGATGTAGATTTTTAAAAATTTTTGATATAACCTAATTTTTATTTAAAAAAATATTATTGGATCTTTTGGGGGGAAGGGGGGAGTGTTGAGGGCTACAGCCTAGTCAGGATGATGCATGGCATTTTTGCCAGAAGGGAGTGGTTGAGAGGTGATGCCAGTGAGCCACTGAGATGATAATGGTTAAGTTAAGCTGCGTATTCAGTTGTATATAGACCCCTGCTGTCCGCCTCCAGTGCCCACTACTTTGGAGTTCGAGATGGTTGGTTGGTGAAGTTCCGGAGGAGGGATTTCCAGAGAGGGTATTCCTAGAAGGGCCTCCTGGGTGTGTGGGTGGCATTTGTAGGAGTTCAGGGAATAAAGGAGTTCCTGTTTGAACCTACAAGTGCCTTGTGGTGGCTTGGTTATTTTGTGCCCAGCCAGATTGCGGCAAAAAAGCAATTCTCCTTTTCTAAAGAGCTTAGCTATTTTTCTGGGCCTCAATTATCCAAAAAAACCCCTAAGAATTGTTCAAATTATAATAAGCTGTTCAAACTTATCAAAACATTTTAGAGTAATTAGTTAAACTATTAAAAAGGAGTCACTTATTGGTTTGTTCAAAAACTGAAAGCCTTAAATGTTTATTCCTTTTTTATTCTTTGTTGTTTTGGAATTGGGGACTGAACCTAGGGGCTCTTTATCATTGAGCTACTTTTCAATTTTTTGAGACAGGGTCTATCTAAGTTGTCAAGGCTGGCTTGAACTTGTAATCCTCATCCATCAGCCTTCAGAGTCACTGGGATCACAGCTGTGTACCAACATGCCCAGCTTAGTTTGTTTTTTTAAAAGATCGCTTTAGCTCCAAGCATAATAGAAGTTCTTACTGATACCTCATGCCTCTCCTTCCTTGGGTGTGATATGAATAAATTTTGTCCATTTGCTGGGAACAGACAATGTAAAGCAATGATCTAATTACAGGTGGGCTTGATGATGCTACAGCTGTCTGAGTGGGTCAGTGCCATCATTAAAGGCCTCAATAAAGTTAGGTTAAAAAAATGGATTTCCTTCCTACCAGTAGTCTGAAAGACATTTTCCATCATACCTATCAAAGGATCTAAAATTGCACTTATGTAAAACTCCCCATAAACCACATTTTTCTTTTTTTGATATATGGTTTCAATAAACTGCCTAGGTTCGACTCAAACTTGCAATCCTTCTGCCTCAGCCTCCTCAGTTGCTGGGATTATAGGTAAGCGCCACCACGAATGGGTTTCTGTAAATCATGTTTTAAGCTTAAATATTTTTAATAATCTTAAATGGTTCTGTGGTTTTCTTTTCTTCTTAATACAAAATATAGTTTGCAAGCAACAAGTGAGAGTACCTTAGAAAAATCTAAAACAATTATGTACCATATAATAGTGATGCTCAAAATCTTGGTCGAATGTGCTTTCTCACAGAATTAAATACAGTAAATTAAGAGTTGACTTTCTTTCTTTCTTTTTTTTTTTTTTTTTTGGTGGTCCTGTACAATCAAAAAAATAAGAAATTATACCCCATTTGATTCAAATGTATGAATTGTCAAGATTATTGTACTGTCATGTGTAATAAAAAAAAATACAGTAAATTGTATTTTGGCTCTAAAATTTTGACAAATTTATAAAATTCAAATGCTTGTTATTGAATGTGATCATGACCAAAAAGTAAAAAACCAACTATTCTTTGTATGTAAAACAGAGATACTGCCACCCAAGACTGTGAAAAATCTCAAAGAATTGTAATGTAAATTTCCATATATGGACCATCTGAATTTTGCCACTAACATTTACTATGTCTTTTATCACATTATCAATCCATCCATTTAATTCTTTGATGATTTTTAAAGTTAATCACAGACATCATTATGTGTCACATCTACACACCTCAATATGCGTATCACTAGTCAACATTTAGGGTTTTTCTTCCTTCTGAGAAAAAAATTTCCATACAACAAAAATGTATCAAATCTTAAATTATCACCTTATGAATTATGATAAATGCTTATCTATATAATACAAAATCCTGTCAAAATAGAAAACATTACCATTATTCCATAAAGTTTCTTCATGCCCCTTTCCCAGTTGATCCCTATACTCAGAAGCAACAACTGCTCTGATATTTTAACTACAGCTTCTGGAACCCCACAGAAATGGAATTTCCTGTGTTCTAGAACCTTACATAGATGGAAACAGTATATATATTCCTAACCTTAGGCAGCATATATTAAAAATTCATCCATGTTCTTGAGTTTATTAGTAGATAATTTTTATTGCTAAATGGTACTTGCTAAAAATAGTTTTAGTAAACAAAATACCTCAAATTTTCTGATTTTATTTCATACCTTCATATTGACATCAGCCCCATTGCCAACTAAAAGTTCTAAACACAATGCTCCATGTGTTGATGCAGCAGCAAAGTGCAAAGGAGTAAATCCTTTTTCATTCTTTTGATTTACATTAGCACCACAGTCTATAAGTTCATTCACGACAACATCTTGTCCATTATAGCAGGCCACATGAAGAGGTGTATTTCCATAGGCATTTGGTTCATTCATCTATTGGTAGAAAAAAATGTGCAAATGTTAAAGTAGTCTTGATGACTATCATTATTGTGAACTATTTTAGGAATTTTCGTGTGGTTGTCATCAAATTATTAAAGCAAAAAAAAAAAAAAGGAAAAATACAGATGAGATCTACAGTGCTAAAATTCTTTTAAAATAATGAATATAACAAGTATTTTGGTGTTAAATGGATTCTGTACATTTAGAGATAGGCAATTCACATAGGCAATGTCTATACATATACAATGTCTACATCATGACAAAATCGAATGATTCCAAAAGGAATATTTTTAGGAGAATGAAAACAAGCATAATCTATTTTTAAAAGGCTTCAAAGTTAGGGACTTGATATGAAATTAACTCCAATAATTATGAAAAAATTAACAATCTGAAGACTGAGGTATATTCAGTTCAGTATCATGTTATTTTCAGCTTTTCATTTTGCAGTGACAAGACTAAGATTACTAACAGAGATCAGGATTTTTTAAAATAAATGAAATTCTATTCAGTTTTGTTAAAGACTTGTAAATACATTCCAGTTTCACATGTTGAAATTTTTATCAAAAGGCAGAAGAATGCTCAATAATGAGAAATAATCCATCCAACTCAGGTGGCTCCCACCACCAAATCATTTCAAATAAATAAAATAGGGCAATAATTTAACATTTATGTAACTTTTGTGTAGTAAAGTTTTACCTTGACTGAAAAAAGATCTAGTCTATCCTTGACTTCAGGGAGATAATTTGTCACATATCCCATACCTTAGATTAGGTTGAAGAAACAGAATAGGTTTGACACTTGATACTAGGGTAGGGGCCGATCATACCAGATTTAAACCAACACTGTGATTCAGGGTGGGGGTTTTGGGTCATTATGTATCAGCAAACTTGGAGACTAAAATCAACCACTTAGGCAATAAATTAATCATGCCTATGATGGGGCCTCAATTAAAAACTAGAAATTAGTGTGTGCACTGGCATGCATCTGTAATCCTAGCAACTCAGGAGACTAAGGCAGGAAGATTGCAAGTCTGAGGTCAGCCTTGGCAACTTAGTGAGACCTCATCTCAAAATTAAAAATAAAGGGGCTGGGGTTGTGGTTCAGTGGTTAAGTGCTTGTGTGAGGCACTGGGTTTGATTGTTAGCAACACATATAAATAAATAAAGGCCCATCAACAACCAAATAAAATATTTTTTTAAATTAAAAAGGATGGGCTCAGTGATAAAGCATTCTTTGGTTCAATCCTTAGCATCCAAAATAACCCCAAAACAACAACAAAAACACCAGTGAAAATGAAGCTCAGATGAGCATTCCTAGTTGACAAAACTTTGTGTATATCGTTACAATGCATCCTGACTCCATGAGGAGGACAACTTAAGAACACTCCTTAGTTTTGTCCTGTGTGTCTCCCTTCCTCTGGCTATTCTTAATTTGTACTTTCCTACTATAATAAACCATGATTGTGAATGTAATAACTTTCACTGAGTTTTTTTTGTGTCATCCTAGTTACTGAATGGTTTCATTTATTTATTTGTTTATTTTCTGGTACCGGGAATTGAACCCAGGTGCACTCTACCATTGAGCCTATCCCAGTCCTTTTTATTTTTTATTTTGAGACAATTTCATTAAGTTGCCCAGGCTGGACATGAACTCATGATTTTCTTGCCTCTGCCTCCCAAGTTGCAAGGATTACAGGCATGTACCACTATATTCACCTTAAACCTCAATGTTTCTAGAAGCCCCACCACCACGTGGTTGGTCAGAAGTGAAGGCAGACTTGTGCAGATAGAGATATCCCTCTAACCATGTAGTTGGCCCCAGTTTGTCATAATTTTGATATTTTCTTTTTTGAGATGACTGGTAATAGAAACTGGAGGAATAAAAGAGTAACAAGAGTAGATTTTGCCACTCTCAAAACCTTCGAAAAGGAACCAACTTTGCAGAAACCTTGAATTAGGACTTCTATATCCCAGAATTTTTAGAGATTAGTTTCGTTCATGGTAAAGTTTTAGTTCATGGTAATTTGTTACAGTATTCCTAAGAAACTAAAAAAACCATGCAATAAGAGATCATATGTCACTAAAAGATCCCAAATTGGACCATTTATTCTAAAGAACATTCTGCTACCAGAATTTACAAATGTTCGTTTTACTGTCAATAAAATAAGCTAGGATGAATTTAAAAGTAATTAGAAACGATGTTGCCTTTATTTGTGTTAAGGGTCTTTTAAGACACTAAGTTACTCTGTTGAAACAGGGCTATTAAGAACTATTGAGCTGAAATGGAACTTCTCTACTTTGCACTCTCCAAGAGCCCACAAATATGTTTGGTTTTTAAAACCTCTTCTGAATCCCACATTTTCCATACTTACTTGTTTTTAGCAAAGTGTTTCCCTATATCCTAAATTAGCAGTCCATTCAGCTCTATTGCACTGAATGAACTCTGTAATGTCAAACCAGGATATCACTTACTTTTTGTTATTTTATTTTTTTACAGCTGAAAACTGCCTCCCTTTAGTAGGTCCTTGCCTTCTCTTTCCTCCTAATTTGCTGCTTTGAAAAATAACCACGTATGTCTTAACCATATAAAAAATAAGAGTAAACATATTCGGACTAAAGAATATGTGTTTAAAGGATCACTTGTGAAAACTACAGGTACTATCAGTTGTCTCAGTTTAGGAATTAAATATACCCAGATACAGCAGTACCCCTTCCTCAAAAAAGAGAATTATATATTAAGCAACACTTAAACTTGGTGAGCAAGAAGTCTCTTGTCTTCCTGCCTACCTCTTCCTGATAGCCATTTAAAAGGGAATATCTGACTAATTAAGTGAATAAGACTAATAATAACCTAGTCACATAATCCAAGTGTGCCTGACCTGCTGGTTTATGCAAAACTGGAGGAAATGGAGCTACAGAGTTTGAAACATGATGGAAAAGAAAACCTTCTGGAAAATCACCTTTGGAATTTACTTTACCTCAACATATTTTGACATATTACCTTGATTATAAATTAATACACTGTTTAAAGAACTATAATCATTTGGTTAAATGACAAATATTGTAAGAAATCTTTTTTTTTGGGGGTGGGTGGGTACTGGAGAATGAACCCAGAGCTGTTTTATCACTGAACCACATCTCTAGCTCTTTTTAATTTGGAGTCAGGGTATCACTAAATTGCTTAGGGCCTTGCTTAGTTGCTGAGGCTGGCCTTGAAGTTGCAATCCTTCTGTCTCAGCTTCCAGAGTCACTGGGATTACAGCTATGAGTCATCAAGCCTGGCTTCTGAAATCCTTTTAAATCTGAAAGTGTTTGCCAGTGTAATAAAATTCATAAAATATTCCATTATTTTATATTGCTCTATATACCTACATCTACTCCAAGATCTAGAAGGTACTTGACTACACTGATCATTCCACTGGAAGATGCTGCATGAAGAGGCGTATAAGACTTCTTATCTTTGCATGTCACTTCAGCTCCATGTGCCACAAGTAATTTCACTACTTCAATATGACCTGGAAATGTGTTGAAGAAAAAATAGAGATGAGCATATATAAAATATTAAATATAATCCTGAATATATTTAAAGAAAGACAAATATGCATATTAATCACATAATACATGATAACCAACAATCAATCTCGTTACAATCTGAAAAAGCACAGAATAAAAGATTTCAGAATCATTTCTATTGGTAGAGGTAAGATTAAATATGATGCACTTTATTTAATTTGTCCAGTGTCAACACTACAACTGATAAATCTTTTGCCAGATCTTCTGGTCCCCTCCTACCCTCACAGACTGACTTAATGCATTCTTAAGTTAGTTTTAATTTTTAACCTTGTTTATATTTCTCAGCCTTACTGGAATCTTGTTCTTATAAATCTGGGAGTGACTTTGTTTTGTTTCTTTCTAATTTTTCTTTTTCATGTTTGAGATGGGGCATTGCTGTTACCAAAGCTCAAATGCATGGGCACAAGTGATCCTCCTGACTCTTCAAGGGGACTGCCACAGCACCTGGAAGGCTTGTTTCTCAAGAAATTAGGTTTTCTTTTTGATACTGGTGATTGAACCCAAGGGCGCTTTATCACTGAGCTACATCCCCACTCCTTTTTATTTTGAGACAGGGTCTTTCTAAGCTGCCTAGGCTGGCCTCCTGCCTCAGCCTCTGGAGTTGATGGGATTACAGGTGTGCACCACTGCATCCAGATAAAGCCCTATTTTAAAAGGGGGTTATATACAGGGAAGTGAACCACTAAAAACATTAAGAAAGGGTTTTCCATAGCTAGTTTGGAGGTGATTCATTTCAAAGAAAAAAGGGGAGAAAAGTTCTAGAGTAAAATAAATTATATTACTTTGCCTGGGTGGCTGTAGCCAAAAAAAAGTCAATTTATAGAAAGATAAGCTGAGGACCAGAATTTAATTCCCATAGGGTTTTCTACCCTTTCAGTCCCAGTATAAGGGATTGAACCCAGGGGCACTCTACTCCAGATATACACCCATGCCCTTTTTTATTTTGAGTCAGGGCCTTGCTAAATTGCAGAGGCTGACCTTGAACTTGTGATCCTCATATCTCAACTTCCAAAGTTGCTGGGATTATAGGTGTGTTCTACCATATTTGGCTTCTAGAGCTATTTTTTGAGTGGCATCCATGAGACATGTATGGTATATAGATTTCAGAAGAAAATAATAAACACCATCTTTAATTTAATTCCCTTAGGAATTAAGAACATTTTCCACATTTTAATTTTGTTCAGGAATGGACAAGAAAATTAAAACAGACTGTGTTAGAATTTATTTTCAGGGAAAGGAGGAGGAAAAAAACAGTTCATATTCATTTAAATTATGCACTGCTTCAAGAAGAAAAAAAAAAGTTAACAAGTTGCTAATCAAGTAACATTAGCTGGGCAAGATGGAGCATACCTATAATTCCAGAGCTCAGGAGCGAGGCTGAAGTAAGAGGATCCTAAGTTCAAAGCCAGCCTCAGCAAAACTGAAGTGCTAAGCAACTCAGTGAGACCCTGTCTCAAAAAATAAAAAGGGCTGGGATGTGGCTCAGTGGTCGAGTGCTCCTGAGTTCAATCCCTGATACTCCACCTCCCAAAAAAGAAAAGAAATATTTATTCAATGTCAAAGTCCATAATAACAGGATCTGAGGCAGAACATGCCTGAATAAGGCTAAAAGTACTGAAAACACTGAAAAGATTGAGGAAGGATGATGGCAGAAGCAAGCATAAATTGAGGAGAGAGAAATGGCAATTTATTTGGGGTCAGGGTTGGGGCTAGAGAATATTGATAGAGACTTCAATAACAGCATAAGGAGGTGGGACCTAATGGAAAATTTAGGGAACCTCAACCAGTGGATGAAAGGAAGCCTGTGAGAAATAAATCACAAGATTACAAGTAATCCCTAGTATCTACTGTAATTTTTTTGAGGGGTGGAACTGGGGATTGATCCCTGGGATTCTTTACCACTGAGTTACAACCCCAGATATTTTTTGAGACAAGATCTTTTGCTAAGGTGCTTAGGATCTTGAAAATTTGCTGAGGTTGGCCTCATGTTTGCAATCCTCTTGCCTCAGCTTACTGAACTGCTGAGATTATAGGCATATACCACCACACCATGCTTCTTACACTAATGTCAATGGATTCTCTGGACATAATCTAGAGGTGACAATGTTTACCCTTTAGGCTTGTCTTTAAGATGGGTGACCCATCAACAGTTTCCTATTTTCACTATTTAGTTCTTTAATACCATATGCCTAGAGTAGTTTTAGAAGCTATGTGTCATCTTGTTCAATGCTTGCAAATGAAAGGAGAGTTATGAATCTGAATGCTTATGCTCAAAAATTAAATGGCCAGTGCTATAGTTTCTATGTGTCCCAGCACTAAACTTAATATCTAATGCAACAGTGTTAAGATGTAATTTTGTGTGGGAATGGGTTTGTTATAAACATTGAATTTAACTCCCCTTTCTAACCAGCGTGATGTCTTGTACCATGCTATGATGAGGCACGGCCTACATCAGATGCCCATGCCTTGATCTTGGGCTTCCAGCCTCCAGAACAGTAAGAAAATAAATTTCTGTTCATTACAAATTACCCAGTCTCAGGTATTGTTATGGTAGCACAAAATGGACCAAGACATGTAGTGATTTCCAAGAAACATTGAATTACCTTTTTCAACCATAATAGAAAGGTCTAAAATATGATACTATATCAGTGACCACCAAGCTATGCTAGATCACCTGAGAAACACATAATCAACTATTTATGGAGTTCAATTATAGGAAACTACAAAATTACTCTGGCCTTCCATTTCATAAAAATAGCTGTTAAGACTAATTGTTCAGGAGTAAAAGGCCTGATGCATTTTGTTTAATGTGTAAATTTTTTAATATACAGTATTAGTTTTAAATCACAGCACTGTTTCTAAACTATCTTGAAAAATAAACTACAACAGAATATTCAAGAAAGTTTCCAAGACTTAAAGTAGAAAACTATCAGGTGTGAGGAAGAAACTTTAGTATGCCACAGAAGACTTGCTTCTGAATTTTTTACCTCCAAAAAAATTATCCATTACATATCTAAAGGCACATATTTTTGGTATGAAACACTAAGTGTTCAGCCTCTGGCTATCAAAATATTTTATCTGTCTATCTATCTATCTAATTTTGAGACAGGGTATCACTAAGTTTCTTAGTGCCTTGCTAAACTTCAACTTGTGAGTCTCCTGTCTCAGGCTCCAGAGTCACCAGGATTATGGGAGTTTGCTGCCATACCTATTCTGGCTATCAAAATAGTGACATGTAACAAAAATGTTAATCTTCATCTTTAATCATTCTTTGCACCTATACTAGAATTTCAGAACTGCAATTCAGCATGGATTCTTCTGGACCTTAGAAGTATCTGTACTAAAATTTGATAAAGATGATACATAAGATTTGAAAGAGAAAGATACACATATATGGAGTGTTACAACTGATTTGCATCCATTTTACAATGTTATATAGGTTTTTAAGGTTAATTACCTTCTACTTAATCTTTAATTTTTAAATGAGATAGGAAAAGACAAAACCAAGAATAGAAAAACAATGAGAAAAAGCTACAACTACATGATTCTTCCAAATTAGAAGAGACAAAATAGCAAAAGCAGAATTATTAGAATGTGTAAGGCCCTGAGTTCAACTCACAGCACTGGCGGGGAACCTAAAATGAATTACAACCTTTGGCAGAAAGAGAGGACGTCCTAAGCTCCATGGATGCAAAGGGAGGGACTTCAAAAATAAAATGTCTGTTGAGCACAGTGGCACACACTTGTAATCCCAGCTACTAGGGACGCTGAGGCAGGAGAATCACAAGTTTGAGGCCAGCCTAGACAACTTATAGAGTCCCGGTCTCAAATAAAAAATCAAGGGCTGGGAATGTAGCTCACTATGCACTTGCCTAGTATGTGTGAAGCCCTATGTACAATCCCCAGTACTGCAAAAACAAAACAAAAACCAAATGTCTACACCCATGACTTTTTCCAAGAGGTAAAACCTAGCCTTATAAGACTTCTAAGGTTCATGGTAGGTTATATTTCCTCCATGCTTAGCGATCTGTTTCTATATGCATGGTCTCAGCACTCACAACAGAGTAGAAATGCTATTTTTATGCATTTCACAATATTCTAAGATAGGCTGAATTGCCTCTTTAGTTTTCCAAATTATGTCAAGAATCAAATGTTTTGTTAGTGCTTGTATCATTAATTTGCATAAAGTACTGGGTGGTCTATCCCAGGATCATTTTCCTCATGAGGTCTAGTTTTATTTATTCTAATGATTTATAAATGACAGTGTAATACATTTTGATACGTCATACATAAATGGAGTATAGCCTCTCATTCTTCTGATTGTACACAATATAGAATTATACAGGCCATGTAATCATATATGCACACAGAATAATAATGTTTGAGTCATTCTACTATCATTTCTATCATGAGGTCTAGTTTTAGAGGGCAATCAAATAAAAAATGAAGATGCACAAGAAACTTAGTGCTTGGCCCAATATAAGATTTCTTAATACATCTTCATAACTTATATGTTACCAAGATGGTTCCACCTGAGCAGGAAAATCAGATACGTTGTACCTTTTAATTGTGTTAGAAATGTTAACACAAATAGCAAGAAATAAAATGTACTACTTTCCTAAATATATAATGTGAAAAAGTAAATTCAAAAAGTACATACCCATATATGCTGCCCAATGAATAGCACGCCTATCCTTCTTATCAAAAGCATTAATATTGGCACCTCTGGACAAGAGTAGCTTGACCATCTAGAATAAAATAAACACAGTTTCAATGAGATTCAGAAGTAGAATTGTTCAGCCTTGTGATGAGTACTTATCTTAATTTCTCTGGCACTATATTTCTGGTAGAAAAGGAGCCAGATTGAATATATAAGGCCATTTAACATAACAGGATAAAGTATGAAAAATGCGTTCACTGTGGGTGTTACTGAAGTCAGGTAGTATCTTTCTAGAAACCATTTATTTCTGTCCTGGTATTTTATGAACAACTAAGTATAAATAAGAAGGTCTAAAGTTAGAATATTTAACAAAAGATTTTATTCCTATTCATAGCCCAACTGTTATTAAAATGCAAAGTGAAAATACTCTTCCCAGAAATGTCTTAAATTTAACTTATGTACAAACTTAACATCTACAAAATGATTAAACTTGAAGGTTACTACATAGTCTACTTATCTCACAAAGTACCAAGAATAATAATTATACCTAATCATATTTACAATATTTTCTTTGTTGAAGGGAATTTAGGACATATTTTGTGACCTTAATTATAATGGAGGCAAGGATTTATGCTGCAAAATCAGAAAAGTAAAGTGGAAAGAACACTGCAGCCGACAGCTCCCCAGCTATGGAATCTTGGGAATGATTCTCTACCACTTGGAATTTTTGTGTCTACAAAAATGAAGGACTAGGAGCTGAATATTGTAACATATGTCAGTAGTCCCAGCTATTCAGGAGAGGCAGAAGGATCACTTTAAGCCCAGGAGTTGGTAACCAGCCTGGGAAACATAGCAAGATCCTATCATTTTTTTTTTTTTTTTTTTAAAGGCTGGAAAAGGTCATCTCAAAGGTTCCTCTAACAGTTTGGTTCTTCCCTGTCCCTCATGCACTTATAAACCTCACTCTTTGATAGGACAACTATAGTAAGTGATGTTTGCTGGAAGACAACTAAATACTAATTTGCTTAAATTGATTTCTTCTGATGGTCTGTCACTAAAGAACTATCTTGACTAAATGCTGAAACTAATTTATAAGAAAGCATGTTTCAAAATTCTCTGCCACTGGGCTGGGGATGTGGCTCAAGTGGTAGCGCGCTCAACTGGCATGTGCGGGGCACTGGGTTTGATCCTCAGCACCACATAAAAATAAAGATGTTGTGTCCACTGAAAACTAAAAAATAAATATTAAAATTTCTCTCTTTCTCTTAAAAAACAAAATCTTTGCCATTATCATTCTGAGTGAACAAAGAAATTGCTGTCTTCCCAGATTCATTTTTTCCACAATAATAGAACATACTTTTCATATTATGTTAGCTAGCAGGCTGTTACTCCAGGTTGACTATAAAATTCATGTGCATAAGCAGTACAAACTAAACAAACTTCCAAATTTGAGAAAGTTTTATCATGGAAAATAAAGTTTGAAGATTTGCTATGGGCAAAATTTGACAAATATGAGTAAGATATTTTTATTTCCTTTTACTATGGACTTATAAACGGCTAAAGAAGGGAAATTCAGCCAGGCACAGTAGTGCCTGTCTGTAATCCCAGCTGAGGAGACTGGGAGGAGGTTGAGGCAGGAGAATTCCAAGTTTGAGGTTAGGGCAACTTGCTGAAATCATGTCTCAAAATAAAAGTTAAAAAAAAAAGGTAGGGGATGGGGCTTAGGTGTATAATGCTCCTGGATTCGATTCCCAGTACTGTGGAAGGGAAAAAAATGTCACCTACTTCACCATGTCCACTGAAAGCTGCATGATGTAATGCAGTTCTTCCGGCTCGATCAGACACATTTACGTTACTCAGAAGAGGTACCAAAGCTTCAGCACACTTTACAGCTTTATTAGCAGCAGCGATGTGTAAAGGGGTTTGCCAATTTTTGTCTCGAGCATTAACATCTGCAGAATGCTTCAAAAGTACCTGAACTGCTTCCTAAAACATATGAAGATAAGTTATAAAAGACAAAATAGTTAACAGTTTTAGAAATTGTTTACATATATGTATATGCATAAAGGAAATAAAATTTCCTGAGGAAATAAGAAAATTCTGCTATTATTTAATGTTAAGATGAAATTTATTAAAGAAAAAAATTCAGAATTTACAGCTGAGACATTCTCTTTACATGTGTTTCCATTAAAGGACTAACAATCTCTAACAAAATGTATGAAACAAGCCAGGTTGTGGTGGCACACCTTGTAATCACAGCTACTTAGAAGGCTAAGGCAAGAGGATCTCAAGTTTGAGGCCAGCCTGGGCAAATTAGCAAGATCCTACCTCAAAATAAAATAAAAAAGGACCTGGGATGTAGCTCAGTGGTGCAAGCCCTTGGTTCAATCCTCAATACCACACTCAAACACACACACAAAATTACAAAATTAAATATTGACAAGTGTTCTTCAAAAATATTCATTTTTTAATATCATGCTTCTGTTAGTAAGACACAACTTATATATTGAACAGTATTAGGAGATTTATTATTTTTCCAGTGAAAACATAAAAATTTGAAGTATAATATTTCTCAAAGTATTACACATGCTACATTTTTAAAAATGAAAAAAAAAATCACAAGGTCTAGTTCATTAAATTATTTTTTTCCAAGAAGTACATGGAAAACCCCACACCACCACATTAATAAATTGGGCCTCATGGCAGAATTCCAAGGATTTTAGTATGTAATCAACATTAAGCAATATAATCAGAAATAAACTTTGCAAAAACTTTTTCCTTATAGTGATAATCCTATCTTTGGTAGATAAATACCAAAATATGTATGAAAAAAAATACCAGAACCAAAATAGAATCTTAGTTCTGTTATTTACAAGGTATACTAGTCAATCTTATAAAACTGACTCCTAGTGATTTTATTTATAAAAGTAGGGAGTGATGTGGTGGTATCATAAGTCTTCTCAATTTTGCTTTAAGGCATAATAAATTAATGTACATCAAGTTTAAAGTATAAATTGCTATAAGTATACAAAGTATCAAGGAAGACAAGACAAAATACTATTGTCTATCAATCACTAATAGCTTTTTAAGCCCTTAAATTAAAAAGTAATCAAAATCACGAAACAGCACAAGTACCTAATAGGGTTGGCAAAAAACTGAAGAGATGCATAGTAATTCATGGGCGTCCTACCTGCTAAGGAAGCCAATTAGCTAATCAAAAATGGGAGAGGTATGACTCCACAATTCCACTCCACTTATTTGCTCAATTATAAAAGCAAAGAACAACAACAACAAACCCCTCAAAAAACAACAAACAAAAAAACCCACTCCAGATTCATCTAAGAATGCTCACAGCAAGCCATGTATGTTGGTATATGCTATAATCCCAGCAACTTGGGAGGCTGAGGCAGGAGGATCCCAAGCCTGAGACTATCTCACTATTAGATAGTGAGACTCTATCAAAAAACAAAACAAAACAAAACCCAAACAAAAAAACCTCATAACATTTTTTAAGTCAAAAACCAGAAATACAAATGTCTATCAATAGAAAAATGAGAAACAAACTGAAATACATTTGTACAATACAACTCAGCAGATTAAAAGGAATGAAGCAATAATAAATGTAACATTATAGAATCTAAAAATGTTATGTTAAAGAAATTAATACACATTGAATGATTTCATTTTTATTAAGTTACATAATACAGAAAATTACTCCATGATGAGAAAAATCAAAACACTGGTTGCCTCTGAGGTTGTCCATCCCCACTTCTAAGAAGGATACAGTATGACTTAGGGATAAAATAAACACTTTATTGGGGGAAAAAAAGGTGATAGGTATGTTAGTGAATGTCTTAGAAAATAATTAAAAATAAAATGAAGAATTTATTACTTCATATATTGCAGGGCCAACACGCCTAGTAAAGATGCTGGAAATAATACCATTAAAACTTCTGCAGAAATATTTATGCTCTATTAGGAAGAACAGCAAAATCAAAACTACTGTTTCACTGGAAAGCAAGAATAAATCTAGTTTGTGGGGAGCTGGGGTTGTAGCTAAGTGGCAGAGTGCTTGTCTAGCATGTGTGAGGCACTGGGTTTGAGCCTCATCACTGTATATAAACAAACAAACAAATAAAATAAAAAATTCTACAATGTAGTTATATAACTACAAAAATTTTTTTAAATCCAGTTTGTGAAAAGTAAGGATATGTAAAGTAGCACCTAATAAAGGCTGTAAATAAAGCAATTAAGACTCATAATCAAAATAGATTAGTGCTTAATTTACTTACTACTCAGAGTAATACATATTCAAGTAGCAACCTCAGAGAAAACTAAAGAAAATTTCTAAAGGCTGGGACCTTTAAAAAGGTGAAATTTCAGAAATACAAATCAAAGTGCACAATGTCATATCCTACTAAAATTCTAGATCATATTATTGGTACATAAGACAATAATGTGGGAATAACAAAGGGCATACGTGGTTTCACCAACAATAAATATTACCATAACCTCAATTCTAATTTTTCAGTTATTACAGGGTATGTGTAAGAAATGCCTGCTGGTGTGCCTCGATTGGAAAAAAACAAACAAACGAAATTTAAGTAAACATTGTGAAATATAGAGTTATGGTAAAAGGTTATATAATTGTCCTCATTGTATTAATATCTTTGGAACAATCTAGACTAAGATTCCACAGTAATAACTAGCTTTCTCTTTGGTTCTGTCTGCCTTTTTTTAAAGCAATTCTTACCATTGAGTTGAAGGTGGCACTGGAAAAAGAAGGGTTAGCAGGTTTACAATAAATACAAAGTCTAGATGAACCAATAACATACAATATAATTATATAATTTAAACTCAGCTATCTTGACAGAACTCTTGATTGGTCTTGATTAATGTTTGTGATAAATTAACTTCTCTCCTGTGCATCTTAACATGTTGTTAGCTATGCATGTCCTTGTGGAAATTAAGAAAATGATCAATCCAACTGGGCATGGTAGTACATGCCTGTAATCCCAGCAACTTGGGAGGTTGATGCTGGAGTTTGAGACCATCTCAGCAACTTAGTGAGCACTTGTCTCAAAATAAAAAGGGCTAGGGACATAGATCAGTGGTATAGCATCCCTGTGTTTAATTCCTACTACCAACCTGAGAGAGAGAGAGAGAGAGAGAGAGAGAGAGAGAGAGAGAGAGAGAGAGAGAGAGAGAGAGA